CATTCATCAAGCTGCAACGTTTGTTACTTGCAAATTCAGTTTTACAGCGTGTCTTCCATGCTAGGACACTGCGATGGAGCTGGGCCAGCCCCCTGACACCTGCTGTCTGGAGAATCAGGAAAGGAAAGGAAACAGGATTCCTGCAGAATTTGCTACTAGCAGTTTCCCCACTCACTTTTAATGAAGCTATTGAAACACGGTGGGTGGGGGAAAGAAACTAACTTAGCTGTCATCATACTGTAGATAGGAAGTCAGGTCGCTCATCAAGAAGTTTTGCCTAGTCCACTAGATACTTGACTGATTCAAGCATAAGGATCAGCAAAAGTAGCAACAGTAGCACCTTAACGGGGCTGGATGGCACTGTGGAATGGTAACCACCTATGGTGTATTTCGCAGCTTGGTCACGGGTCCAAATCCACCTCAAGTCAGTAAAGACTGAAGGTCATTGCTGTGTGCTAGCTACAGAGGGGAAGAAGTTGGTAGCCCTAATTAGTCCCAGATAGAACTGGATGTCCTGATTTCACCTTGCTGTGTCAAGGGCTATGGGAACTGACTCCACTGTAGATCAATATAACATGGCAGCCTACAGAAGCTTGCCTTGTGGAATAAAATTTACAGGGCTTCACTCTACAGAGCTGTCAGTGCAGCAAGTTTCATGAGCCCTAAGTTCACTTTGAAAAAGAGAAAATATGTTAAACAACACGAATACCCATCCATCTAGCTGTCTCAAGGGTTTCCAAGGTACATATGCTGGTATCCAGGCACGGTACAAAATTAAGCAACATCAGAGTCGATAACTAAAATGTTGGTGCATGGATTTAATCTGGCTCCGATGCACATTTAGGCCCTGATTCAGCAAAGTACTTAAGCACGTGAATGCTCCCACACCTATTCAGCTCAGCTTGTTTTGCTGAATCAGGGCATAGTGCTGTCGTTATCACAGAATAATCACCCACCCTTCCCCCCGCCCACTAGACAGAGTTTTGCTCTAATCTCAGATGCCAATACTCCATGCCGTAGCTTTAGCAAAATGAAGGTCACGACAAGCCTACAGGAAAAATAACATCTCAAAAGGAGTTTTGCACGAGGGAGATAGCTTTTCTCATACAACGGTATAAATATGGTACAAGTGACTGCACCTCCTCATTGTGCATATTAGAATGGCAGAGAGCATTATCCTTCTTGCTGGGGCAACATTTCTATCTACTGACTGTGATAGTATTTCACTTGACAGTGGCTGAATTGCAAAGATCAGTTCTAACAGCTGTTCTAACAGTTCTATATTTACCTTCTAAATATCCATTCAACAAACACTTATTTTCTGAAAGATTTTTAAAGGGCTACCAGATTGATTTTTACTCATACTTCTCTCTCTCACACACACACACACACACACACACACAATTTTAGCACAATATTTAGCATATATTTGGGCTGAATACATTTGCACTCTCAGACATCTTCTGAAGGAGAAGACTGCTGCCACTGCTCCATTGCAAAACCTAATTACTGTAAATTAAATTTTCACTCTTTTTTTTTTCAAATCAGTAACTCTCAGATTTGGTTGAGAAACTGAAAAAAAAACCCTCACAAAAACTGTGTCAATTTTTTTTTTGCCATTTTTCATGTAATTTTTAAATTAACAAATTTCCAACATCTCTGTACATGAAATTGAATTTACAGTCAATAATGCCACTTCTGCCGTATTTCCCATTCCTCCTCCTCCCCAATAATAATACACTCACACTCAACTGTAGAAAATAGACTGTGGGGAACATTTTCAGCTGGTATAAACTGACACATCTCCAGTGGCTTCAGCAGAGCAATGCTGATTTATACCAGCTGAGAATCTAGCCCACTGACTGCACGGCATATACCGTAGTCCTTCGGCACGACGACAAAATACAGGCAGATTTGTCCACTGGTGTAATTCCGAGGATAATTTGGAGACAGAACTACTCCATCTGATCCAGTGTACTGACCACCACACGGTGCTGAAAGACAAAGTCAGGAAGAAATCATTGGAAGAAATCACCGGAGCAGCTGTCATTCAAGCCCCGGCTTCAAGCATTACCCATTTTCTCCACTGCTTCAAAATACATCCAGCCATGTGCTTATTATTCTGTGCAGGACCGGCTGCCCAAGTCTGTGATCAATGCTACATTTCAGGTGGAGCAGCACCCACTGCAAGTTCTTATTAAGAACAATACTGCTTATCCTAACTCGAGTTCATGCTTGCTTCACATTTAATTACCACCACCATACCAGGGACTGGGTGGATGTCACGTACAGTATGTAGCCGAATGTGTGATCTCCAGCGCTATCCATCTGATTCTAAAGCACAGGAGTTGGAGGGATGGGTTCTTAATCTTTTCATTGTTTCTCAGCAACAGGAGACTGGCCCAGGGACCAATGCAGCACTCCCCATCAGAACATTTTCAAACCATCGATTTCTCCCATCCACACCCACGTTCCAGCCTCATATTAGTCTCTTGTCCAGCTCCCGTTAGCAAATAGAGCTGGTCAGAAACATTTAATCAAAATTTTCTGATGAAAAACAGGAAAAACTTATGAGAAAAAACATTTTCCTGTTTTCTTACCCGCCCTGGCTCAGGAAATCAATTAAGCACATGCTTAGGTACTTTCCTAAATGAGAATGGATTTCAGCACAGGCTTAAGTGGCTTTCCAAATCAGACGCTGTATTTGGAATGCAGAATTTGCCCTGCTGGATCTGATAATTGGTTTGTTCTAGTACCCTGTCTTTGTTAGATGCTTCCGAAGGAGGGACAAGAAGCCTCATAATGGATATCTATGAAATAATTTGCATACAGAGTAAGTTTCTTTCTGACCTCGGACAGTGAATGCTTTCATTTTTCATTCAACATTTTTTACAGGAGTAAAACAAAGCTCCCCCCTACCCCCGATGAGCTCGCTATAAAAAGGACGCCCGTGCGTCTGAATGGTTGGTGCTGCAGCGAGGCTCGGCAGCAGGCCTGGAAGTTTTGGAGCCGGCTCCTCGCTCACCCCACCAGCCTTACCTGTGCACGTTGGCCGAGGTTTGTTCCACGCGGGTTTCCCATCCCCTCCCATTATGCATGTCAGGGTGGAGACTCCTTCGATCTCATAGCCACCATCGCAGTAGTAGGTAATTGTCGACCCCAGTTTCAGGTCTGTGCCCACTCGGGTGCCATTCTTAACTGACCCGGGATCAAAGCAAGACTCCCTGGGATTTTCTGCAAAACAACATTGCAAGGAGGTTTAGCGTGTTGATTTGACTGTTTCAGAGGTTCATCTAGCAGGTAAATAGTACATGATGCCAGCCCTATCAGTTACAGCAGGTAACTGGGAGTCAAGACTATTGAGTCCTATTATTAACAGCTGTGCCACTCAGGGGCTGTCTTCCCTATAGAATCAGCCTGGGATCTTACCCAGGTGTTGACCCGTCCCCCCCACTGTCTGCACACAAAAACCTCTCACTTGAGTTTAGTGGTACTTTCAAGCTAGCAAAGTTGGGGCTGTGGGGTAGAGCCCAGGTTCTGCTTTCACTCAGGTGGAAACTACTCACTTTGCAGTGGCTAAATCACTCGAGTGCTGATAGTCCTCCAGTGCCTTCCCACAATTCCCCCCATGTGCGCAGAAGGACAGACAAGATCTCCGACAATTCACGCGGAAAGAGTCATAGAGCAGCTCAGCTTACTGCAGCATGCAAAGAGCCACGGGATATGCCACCAGGAGCCCTAGCAACACACATGGGGAAGTGCAGCACCAGTGAGGACCCAGTAACTTGGGTACAGGCTTTCCAGCATGGCTGCTCACACCTGGGCTAGCTAACTCAGATGCCAGTCATCTGGGCTAACTCTGCAGTGAAAATAAACTTTCACTCACTGGGTGTCGTTGGGAACATCACTTAGCCACTCTATGACTCAGTTTTCCCATCTTTAAAATGGGGGAATAACACATCACAAGGATTTTGAGAGCCTTATTTACTATTTGTAAAGTGCTTTTAGATCTTCAGATGAAGAGCGTTTATTACAGGCAACCTCTGGAAATGCTGTGGTATTGCTGACATTACAGGCCATTTTTTTATAGGCCCTCAACTGGGCCTCTAATTTTGCACAGACATTCCGCTGTGGGCACCACAAACCATAGTCACGGAGTTACACACTCAGGGAAAAAATTTCTAAGTGATGTAAGTGCCTAAATCCCAATTTTAAAAGTGGCTTGGGCACTTAGAAAAATCCCAATGAAAGTCAATAGGAGTTAGGCTCCTAAATCACTTGGATACTGTTGACGATTCCCCCCAAGTCCTATAGTGTGTCTTTACAAGTAAGCCTGGACATAAAAATATGGATAATATTAAAAACTGAAACCCTTCCTAAGCAACTATGCTCTTCCATACAACAGGCAGATCCCAATTTCAAAACCAGCTTTTTCTGATCTGGGATTCCGCTTCAGCCCATTTTAACAGACGGGGGTCACCGCAAGATTTGGATCCAGATCCACGCCTGGATTTCAAACACATTCTCACACGTGGAGGAAGCTGGGGATATTCAGATCCCAGATTTCGGTCTAGGCCCATCTCTAAATTACTGGTGAAAGCCCAGAGTGGTGGAGGAGGAGAGAGAGTGATTGTGCAAGTATTCACTGGTACCAAATCGGGCACATAGGCAGAGCTTTTATTTAAGTAGCTGCATACGTGCTTTGCTGAACGGGAGACCGAATGCAATGAATTTTGCAAACCAGAGCATGTAACTGCACGTGCGGCTTGTAAAGTAAGGGATCCATTCTCTAAATATAGTTTGGATGCACTACATCTATTCACAGTATCTCTCAGGCACCTGTCAGTCTAGCATCTAACAGCTTAGTGCTCTTACCCACAGTGATATACAGGGCCATGTGCTAGCTGGCTTTTTATCCAGATGTGTAGATTCCTGCAGAATGACTACATGCAATTAGCCAAAATGAAGACATTTTTCATTCTCTTTCCCATGCTCTGCAGAGTTAAAATCCCCGTTTGTATATGAAAATTCCAGGAAAGATTGCAGATCTGTCAGGCTGTGCATATTTTTCTTCCGCTTCGGAGGGACTTTTTTTAATGAAATATAATTAGGGGCTTTGATTATTCCTGGGCTTTTGCCATTTAGAAATTGCTGATTAAAGCTCAGGGCTTTTTGGTGAACAGTGGGGTCTGTGAACAATCACAATTGCCTGAGAATTATATCGTGCCGTTTTAATTTTGTTTGAAAGAAAAAAAGACTCAACCCACTCCTACTAGGCCCTGCCCTGGCTTCTTTGTTTGTAGTGAAAAGCAGGATTAGCCTTGTGATCTCCTCCCTGTGACAGCTGTGCCATTAGACAGTGGCCCAGGTAGGCAGAGAACAAAGAGTTTGAAGTGCTCCTATTAGGGATAGTCGAACTGGGGCACAGGCGGTGAAGCCTCTCTTCCTCTCTAGAGGGAAGCACTGTCTAGTGGTAAAAGCATAGGACGAGGAGACAGAACTCCAGGGTTCTTGTCCTGGCTCTGCCACAGGCTTGCTGCATGACCTTGGCCACCTCACTGCCCCTCTCTGCAACTTTATTCTCTTAACTGTAAAATGGGATAATGCAATTCAGTTGCCTCTTGGAGGGAGGGGTGCGTGTGTGCTGTGCGGCATAATTAGCATCTGTTTGTAAAGGGCTTTGATGCTCAGACATAAGGTGGTAGAATAGTTCTGTTCTCAGAAGCTATAAAAGAACTTTGTTTTTATTCCATCATTTCATGCAGTTCCAGCCTGAGCAGAAGCTGGATGCAATAAAGAGACATTAGCCAGGACGACTAGGAAGAGACCAAGCCTGGAGGTCTCATTTCACCTATGGCGATGGAGAGCATGACCACCAGGCTATGCGGTCAGACAAGGAGCTGCCATTTTGTCTTCTTTAAGCCTCACTCTTTGGGTAATGATCACTGCTGCTGAGCAGGCAGCCTTCGCCAATACTAAGATTCTTCTGTATACTGTTAGGATGGTGCCAAATTACTATGAATTACTGTGGCCGATATGCATAAGTGTGGTAAGCATGAGTTTGGTATGGCTCGGAACGTCTGTATTTGCTAGAGGATTCTGGGAGCAGGATTCTCTTAGCATCAGATAGTTGGTGTGGAAATTTATTGAGAGTACTGAAATAGCACTTGAATGGTTAATAAAGGCGGTATCTGTGCGTGTTTCTCAACAGGAGCCTTTGAAACCTGTCAGCCGATTGACCAGCTCACAAAGTAAAGGAAAAGCAAAAACAGGCCATCAGTGAGCTTGGTACAGGTTGACCCGGGTCAAAATAACCCCTTCTGGAGAACACCGCACTAGGAGCTCAAGTGAATGATTGATGAGAGGGTAAATGTTGATTGAGCTTTGGTCTGTGCCTGTTTTGCAGCCCCCTTCTAAAAGATTAATTAAAGAAAACCAGTAATGAAATGCCCACAGGGCATATTTCTGGGCCATGTGACTCCTGTGAGAACAAAAGGTATAAATGCTAAGCAGAGTACATTAGTTAGTTAGTTCCCCAATTGACACCTAAAGAGGTCTGTGATGCTGTAAGACAGAGGGTCAGGGTAGCTGAGACCTGGCTACAAGAGACTTGCGTGGGACTTTGGAATCAGGCAGCGTCGGGGTAACCAAGACCCTGCAGCGAGGGACATTTGACAGACCAAGTACCTGAGAGGGGAAAAGAAGAAAAGAAAAGAAGTCTCCCTCTAGGGTCTGGTCTATACTACCCGCCTGAATCGGCGGGTAGAAATCGACCTCTCCGGGATCGATTTATCGCGTCCCAACGGGACGCGACAATCGATCCCCGAATCGGCGCTCTAACTCCACCAGCAGAGGTGGTAGTAAGCGCCGCCGACAAAAAGCGGCAGAAGTCGATTTTGCCGCCGTCCTCACAATGGGGTAAGTCGGCTGCAATACGTCGAATTCAGCTACGCTATTCACGTAGCTGAATTTGCGTATCTTAAATCGACTCCCCGCTGTAGTGTAGATGTACCCTAGGACTGGTACCTATACCTGCTTTGTTTGCCAAGCAGGATACTGTGTAAGGCCAACACAGTTACTGAGGGTTTATGCTTGGGGAATTCAGGCTTATTAGGGAGATGTATATTCTGTAACCTTTACTGCTTGTGTAATTCTTTCTCAAATAAACTACTGCGCATTAAGCATATTGAATCTGAATTTTCACTGGTACCGGTAACAATCCACCCAGTTGTGGGCCATTAAAGCTCTGTTTTAACATATACCACTCAAGAAACACTTGCAGGGCTGAGCATAGCTACCCGAACCTGGAGCTGAGGCCAAAAACTGGGCCCGGACCTCATCGCTAGAACCCAGCACCAGCCATTGGGGTCGAGATCAGAAGCTGAGCCCCCCCCTGCACATCTGCAGAGCGCCCGTGGCTCCATCGGCCTGGGAGTGAGGGACCCCCGGCAGTGCCTGAATTTGTGTCCCATGCCCTGAACAAGGCAGCAGTGCTGCTGCCCGGCAAAGCCAAGCCAAGTACATCATCGCCCAGGAGACCTTTGCAAAAGCAAACGCTGCGCTTGCTTGTCCAAATTGTTTCCCAGTTCTGCAGGCCTTGATGCCTCTGGAATGCGAGCATTCGTTATTAGCCTCTTCCCGAACAAGGCTGCACCCGACAGGTTTCCTCATGACCACGTTATGCCTCTCTTGTGTTTTTGAACCATTTCCCTGCATTTCATCTCACAAGCCGATGTCGCCTCAACCTGCCAATCAGCCTCCCGCCCAGCTGTCGGGTGCCTTAGACATACGCTTGATCTCAGTCTCCGCTCTCGCTTTCAAAACTCCCGATGTTCAGTGCTCCAGCCACCCTGCTGACGGGGGCTGGCGGCTGATTGCTGAAGTCTCCCCCTGCTGCTCTTTTGTTTTCTTCCTTTTTTGGCTGTTTTTCTTTTCCCTGGAGAGTCCATGCCCCTCGGGACAGTATGTACCTCAGCCAGGCGTGCGGATGATTCCCCTTGGCATGCCGATAATATCCCCGCCCCAATCCACCAACTCCTTCATTGGCGAGTCGCTGTGACACCAGCCAACGCTGACCTATGAATGTGTTCACAGAGCAAAACGTCAGGACGTTCTCCAGTTTAAGGAGAAGTTTGGTCCAGTGGTGGCAGCAGAGGAGCAGGCGTCAGGACTCCCGGGTTTGGATCCCCAGCACGACCATCAGACTCGTCATGCGATCACGGGCAAGTCTTAAT